CGATGGATTCACTATGCCGATGAAACCCAATCAGATTGAAACAGCAGTTCAGGGCTTCCTAGCTTTCCATTTTCTGGTAAATAATTCTTCCGTATTGTGTATTCAATAGCAGCTGACTGCTTGGTTACTTTCGAAATCCCAAAAACAAATTGCATTGTTGTATATTTAATGAAAAACTGATCCGTCATGCCCTCGATTATGTACGCCAGATAGAGATGAGGTTAACTTGAATGCATAATTAACAAAACAAGTCAATATGGCTAAATTCAGGCAACTTGATTTAACTGTTTACATTTTTCTCTTCAAGCAATCTGGTCTTCTGCGAAGGAGCAGTAAAAGTAGTATCAGTTTCCTCATTAGCTCCAGACTACATGTGGTCACATACATCCTAGACGTTGCTCCACGCGGCAATCGACGCACGGTAACCGACAAATTGGAATTTTATGAATTCGTTTTACTGATGAATCGCTGCCGAATACACGGAGTCTCCTCACGTTTTTTTCCGATTCTTCCGTTTACGAAGGTCAAGACATTATATAATCTCATTTTCATAAGCCCCGAACTGGAAAAGATGGCCACAGCTTCTATTAAATTAGCTTATGTCATCTGACAGACGTTTACGATATTGCTCCTTAACCTTACCTTTGTAGGACCATCTCCCACATTAGTATGAGTCAGTTACGCGACTAGGGACTCTGTGGGGCCTTCGGGTAGTAGAGTGTAGTCCTCAATCAAAGTCTGTCTTGTTCTACTATCAGGATATGCCTATTGAACATGCACAGCCTAGTGTCATCTTTGAAGTAGGACTCTTGTGACCAGACGCTGTTCTATTTCTGTCCAATTTGCATGACTCACTATGTTTTCTAAGAATTTTTGTCATTTTGCGATATGGGACAAAAACTACCGTATCCCAAAATATCGTTGCAGACCATTAGTGATAGTTCGTTCAGCGTTTTAAAGACCGTTCAATATTGATTAGTTCCCAGGATGCCTCCAAGAACAGAGAACGCATCCTAGAGCTAAATTGGTCCTATGCTTCCAGGTGTCATTTCTGGATCGCACGAACGAGTGAATTAGACACCAAATGTTTGAGGTATTATTCGGTTACTGAATTTTGCATTGGAGATTGTGAATCTGCCAAGTTCACTTAGGGTTTGCTTCGCACATTACAAAAATGTTACCAAAATGTAGCTATATCCTAAAGCAATTAATGGTCAAGAATTCAGGGGCCCGTAGAACTTCTAGTCATGATCTTCTAGGGTGACGTGTTAACATATGTACATATGTATATTGTTTCCATCTTACCGGAGTATTCTTTTATTGGGATTGCGGAACAAAACTAATTATCACATATAATGATTGATTTGGAAAAGTACAAACTAACCACTCAGTAAGCCCAGCACGTGCATCGATTCACGTGCTTTGGGTCGATTACCAATAACATTGTACCTGAAATATTTTCTGTTTTTAACCTCGTTTTACCCACAAAGTCACAATAATTGCTATGACACATTTTGCTATCTGACTTTAATTATTCCAGTCTCTTCAAACGGTTGGAGTTTTGGGGTTAAATTTTCTGATTATCATCAGAGTGGCATATCGAGTTACCAGTAGTACCACTTGTTGTCCCGCTTTCTCTCTCATGCCTTGTGGTCGACGGACGGTTGTTTCTTGTACGATTCAATTAATTAATTCCTAATCAGAATTAATTCTCAAGGGGTAATTTGCGATTATTAAATGATCGTTTAATGTGACATAACTTGGGGTTCGTTTGAACGAACTCAAACGCAGACCGTTGTGATCACCCCGGACTTCATACTTCGCATTAATATCACTGAATATATGAAATCTGAACAAACATGAATTGCCAAGACAGTATGAGCTGGCTCGCAGTGATACTACACTTGCCTTCCATGCGATGGGATCGGAGTTCAAAGCCCGGAAGGGACAGTGGATAGATACTACTGATGAGCTCTAATGAGGTTAGAAACTTGAGTCTGGTGCATCTGATTGTATCGTGGACTGGATAAACTAAGGATTGTGTGCGAAGGTGAAGTCCGGATAGTAGTCAGTTTACTTCAACTTCCTAACTGTTCACGCGCGTACATTTATTGTAAACTGCACTGTAAGCTGCACTCCATTGCAAAGGTAATGATCTGGGGCTCGAATGAGAGGACAATGTACAATTAATTGTTCTGTTGATGAGGGATGGTAACTATAAGAACATATTGTCATATATTGTAACCGATTTGTAATACACGGCAGGAATTTGATTTCGGGTAACACGATCCGAGTTTCTGGTACCAATAGCGCTGTCAGAATGCCGCAAACAAAACCCTCTTTCGGGTGTCGAACGAACTCGTAAACGCGTCCCAACACAGACGCTCACAATGCACGGATAGAAAACGCTTCGGACTACGGTTCTTCGTCGAAGGGGGATGTCCCAACGATCTACAAGACAGGCAAGGGCAAAACAATCATGAAACAAAAGGTCCAGTGAGACACACAAGAATTGCACTCAACGTGCAATCGATTCCATCGATCCTCAATCTTCACTCTGCACAACTGTTTCCTTGTATTAGAACTGCATACATCACCTGTGTTTTCAGAACAATCGTTCCTGCCGCAAACGACACAAATGAAGTCAAGTTTCCATGATTAACAGATTTAAAAACTTTTGATTGTACAATCAGTCGCAAGCCCTTGTGGAGTCCACTCCACGTGTGCTTACACCTCTTTACGTGTAGGGTACGCTCTACTACCTAATTACATGGTCAAACCTAGTGCTCTGACCTTTTCACAATTGGCTACCTACCAAAGTGACAGGAGCATGTATATATGCATGTAGACTCAATTTTCTGTTTATACGGTCATTGAATGATGAGATATAATCTTCTGCCTGTGTCACGCTGCGTTAGACAGAGATTGTGATAGTTTGGAAAAAGTCATCCCTGAAAACTGTAGCCTGGTTATTTCCAGATAGTTCGAGGTCTGTCAGTCCTGTGCTATACTACTGTGCTATACTACTATACTGTCCATTAACGTTTTTCAACAATGCCTCATCCCTGGAAAACACATTAATGTTTTTTTCTGCCAACAGCTTTAAAGCATTCGGTTGTCAATGGTTACATTGTGAATTTAATTGCATGAAGGAACATTGTGTAATGTGTTGCATTGCATGTCGTGAATCTCACAAAACTGTGTTGTCTGATTTGACAAAGTTTGCCTCGGGGAATAACGTTAAAATTATATCCCTAAGAGTTTGTTTTGCATTTTAGGGAATCTTGCGTTACCTTGATTGCGGCTGGTCATATCCTTGAGAAAAGAAGGACTCCTTGACCTGTATGCCTCCCGCCGGCCGCAAACTCTATCCCTTCTTCAAAAATCTGGTAGAGTTGAATAATGGAATATTTATTTCAGTTACCAATAACCAAACGTGATAATTCCGCAGTCATGACGACAAAAAAATGATGAAGTCGTCTATTTTCTCGGTCTACTTATCTTACTTACAAATGGGGAATACAAATGTCTGTTAGGTCAAGCAAGGGATTCTGTTCACCAACCGTGAACAGCCAAGATTAATTCAAACCGATCGACAATGATCTGTTTGCCGCAAAGTGAAATTCAGCCCACGAGACGTGAACAGTCAGTGATTGAAGTCAACTATGCACTTACAAAGAGCCAGACAACGAATAAGCCCATAGGGTCCGTAACGGAAGCAGATAGGGACCGGGGCAGTGACACAACAAAGCCACGTAAGTGCCGAGGGCAGCCATTAGTTCAAGAACAGTGGCAAGGTCAAAGGACACGAGTAAGTCATCAAACAATAACTGACAAGCGGTGATCAAGGTCAAAGTATGAATGATGTAAATGGACGTGTGCACATAGGGTATGAAAAAGGTTAATTTGGAAGGGGAAACAACAGTAGTCTCCCATTGTACCAGGAGGGAAGGGCAAATGATCCGATGAACTGGACAACGGCCCCCAATGAATTGCGGTTTTCGTAAACCGCCCCGCTGCCTGGTGGGTCAGGATATGCCTAGCCGAATGCTCGGGTTGTGAATTCCTTAAGACAATTCATCTGTCTTGGCCCGGGCAACCTAGTAGTATTCCGCTCACATGAAAATGATGGAACGTGTTTCACTTTCATAAATATCATTATACCATGATTTGTTTGGCACAGTCTGGATTCAGAAGTGTTATGTCTCAGGTCAAGACGATATGATCGATACGTACGCCTCTTCGTCTAGGCCCCAACAACTGGAGAAAGAACACTGCTGAGAAACGACAGTTAGAGTGTATTCTTGATCATGAAACAACAAGCAAATATGTGGTCAGTTGGGCATACGCGAGCAGACTTGGTGACGCGCCAATCAGATTGTGATCTTGACACTCAGGTGGATTGACCGGACGACAGCTATGTGATTCGCCTTAGTCATCCAATCAGGAGTCGATTCGGCTTGGGCGTCACGAGTGCACTTGTGGTGTGACGCGGGTCGCTGGGTGGCAGGACGGATTTTGTGTGCTCCGTCTTAATAAGAAGTGTGTGAAAATACAACATATATTTATATGTATATGCGTGACGAATTATGGAAGTGCAAATTGCACACAATCACCTACGAACGTTTCAAGGTAGAAAATGAATCAGATCGATTTTATGTTTTAATACCATGCATAGCACGGCGAGAGAATACCGAGTACAGGTAGAAATTGCCCGCTTATATGCAATAGTGTATTCGTTCTTGTAGATCGGGTTGATAGACTGTGGACTCTTATGGCGAGCGGAGTTCAAAACAATATTATCGTTTTGACATTTTCCCCTTATGATTTTACGCCATTCAGGTTACTGTGGGTGCAGTTCCACTTTTTTGAATTCATCCCGAATTGTTTTGCAATGAGCTAGTTTATCCCGGTTTTTATTATCTGTCCACTTGTCTCAAATCCGTCATTAGAGATTCCCTACTAGTTAATTATGCAGATAACATGTTTACAGTCACATTACTTCATTTTGTATTCACAAAGATAACATCACGTCCCTGGCATCAATAACCGTAATCCAATTATTGACATGTCTACATATCTACATTTTTTTACCTTCGATGGCCACTATTTCCAGAACGGTCATTATAGTGAGTTTTTGTTTGAAGCTGAATCGATAACTTTATTCCATTTGGTAATGTCTACAAACGGGTTGAAAAGGCAAAATGGGTATTAACATGGCACAAATGGTACAAAATAGCATCGGCCGAAAATGAGTGGTGATACGCTCGACAGGTTGCTCACAGATCATGAAGGCAATTAATGGGAATAAAGAAATCATAGGACCAATGTATTAAATAAAGGTAACAATTTATAACAAAGTTAATATAACAGGTTCCAACTCATAGACCCTAATTCAAAGCATGAGGGGTTCAATAACGAGAAGGTCTTCACAGGAAAACCGGATACTCAATGTTTTAGCTACGATAGTATGTCTGAACCAAGTTACTTTGCGCGGATAACCAATGCCTAATAACTCTCAATTAAAGAGATTCTACAGTTTTCCAGATATTCCTATCTAACCTCATAGCGTGAATCTGTTCCGTTTCGCAGAGAACTCATTTAATTCTGTATCTATAATCAACTAGCTGATCCCTGACTTTAGATTGCATTTGACCAATCGTACAATTCCTAGTTTCCCATACTTGTCAATCAGGTACCGTCATTTAGAATATAACAATGAGAGGGCATAACTGATCTATTCCCTGTACACATTTGCATCCGCACGCGAGACGTGGACGTCCAAATGATGAAATATAGCACACATGCTTACGTGACTGGTTTGCGAGTGTTACCGTGATCCAATGAAGCTGATTGGTGTTTGTCCTGATCCCGAAGCTCATTGTCATGTTTTATTCTGTGATGCAACTTAAGCTTATAAGATGATCTGCTTTGCACAGCTTATCAGTTGCAGGACGAACTGCTCTCCTGATACTACTTCAGGTGCTTGTGATTTACTGCTTCAGTGTCAGTTACAGAAAGACCATTTATTGTTTTAAGTGCACCAAATGATAACTGATATGATTGAGCAATAAAAACAAGTCAGCTTGGCATGAGGAATAAGCTTTCATAAAAATAAACGAGTCGACCAAGCAATGATATGTAAAACAATCCCTGACCAGAACGGATGCAGATTCCCTGGCCAGTCGTCGTAGGGCCCTATTGAGAAGTAAACTCAATACAGGATGGTTTAGAAACGTATCATCCTTGTTTTACAACCGAACTATGGGAAGTAGATATGAGAATATGTGATGCGGTTTGTCCAAGGAGAAATTTCCTCGCATCTTTAGCATACTTTCAATACAGTTTATCTTTGGCAGCTTGAGGTCTGTTCATCTGATAAGGTACCGATGCACATAAGTCAGAGTTGAGGATGAAGGCGTACAACAATTGGTTTACATCGATTGGCTACCATAAAGTCAAAGAAATATGGTGTATCTCAGATTGAACTAAAAGAACTACGTAACGTTTGAAAATACCGCTATTTATTTCAGGAAGATGAATAATTTCTCTCTGGCTGAGAGGATGTACCGAGTAGGTAGTATCCTTACATTCGGACTATGAGGTCCCGGGTTTGATTCATAGTTGAGCCCATGGATTTGTACTGTTGATGAGACCCAACCAGATTCCAACCACTGTGCACTGCTTCTTAGCATTTAAGATCACACTTCATTTGCTCTGCATGCAACGAAATACACTTTAAATAAGAATTCGTTGTGTATGTAGCAAACAAAGCGTGAACTTGGAAGCTCGGAAGCACTGGATA